TCATTTCATAAGAAAATTTTTTTTTTTTTTTTTTAAATTTTGCGACACCAGGAGACACCTCAGGATTGGGGGTTGCGACAGTCAAAGGGTTAATCCAGCTTTGATCTGTTTTTTAGAATTGTTTGTAAAACAGTATTGCTCATGATTCTGATTCAAAGCATTTCTTCTAGATATTTCAGGGGCTCTTATTTTCTTCAGTGTCTAATTGTACTGTTGGTGTGATGAATGCTGTCTGCATCACACCCATACCCTCATAGTATATCTAAAATTTCCACTTCCTTTAATACCATCTTAGCATAACACATTCTTAACACCTCCACCATCACTAGTATTTCTCTTGGGTGCCATGCTTAATGGGTGATGAATAGATCCAAAATCATTTGATAAACATGAAGGGAGTAAAGTGTGCAAATCGTCTAGAAACAACTGCATGCTGAATGTTGCAGCGAGGAGGCGGTTGGAGGCAGTGGAGATGTCCTGTGGTGTAAATATTATGCAGAAAATTCGGAGTGTGGAAATTAGGAGAACGTGTGGAGTTAATAAAAGTATTAGTCACAGGGCTGAGGAGGGGTTGTTGAGGTGGTTTGGTCATTTAGAGAGAATAGATCAAAGTAGAATGACATGGAGAGCATATAAATCTGTAGGGGAAGAAAGGCGGGGTAGGGGTTGTCCTTGAAAAGGTTGGAGGGAGGGGGTAAAGGAGGTTTTCTGGGCAAGGGGCTTGGACTTCCAGCAAGCGTGCTTGAGCGTGGTAGGTAGGAGTGAATGGAGACAAAAGGTATTTGGGACCTGATGAGCTGTTGAAGTGTGAGCAGGGTAATATTTAGTGAAGGGATTCAGGGAAACTGGTTATTTATATAGCCAGACTTGAGTCTTGGAAATGGGAAGTACAATGCCTGTACTTTAAAGGAGGGGTTTGGGATATTAGCAGTTTGGAGGGATATGTTGTGTATCTTTATACGTATATACTTCTAAACTGTTGTATTCTGAGCACCTCTGCAAAAACAGTGATTATGTGTGAGTGAGGTGAAAGTGTTGAATGATGAAAGTAGTATTTTCTTTTTGGGTCGCCCTGCCTCGGTGGGAGACGGCCGACTTGTTAAAAAAAAAAAAATGTAAATAGTGTGTTAACCCTTTCAGAGTTTTGGCCGTAATAGTACGGTTCGCGTCCCAGGGTTTTTGATATACTAGTGTGCCTAAATTCTAGCGCCCTCAAATCTAGTGAGAGAATGCTGGTAGGCCTACATATGAAAGAATGGGTCTGTGGTCAGTGTGCACAGCATAAAAAAAAATCCTGCAGCACGCAGTGCGTAATGAGAAAAAAAAACTTTGACCATGTTTTTGGATTAACCCTTTCGGGGTTTCGGCCGTACTAGTACGGCTTACGTGCTGGGTTTTTTGACGTACTAGTACGCATAAATTCTAGAGCCCTCAAATCTAGTGAGAGAAAGCTGTTAGGCCTACATATGAAAGTATAGGTCTATGTGGTCAGTGTGCGCAGTATAAAAAAAAATCCTGCAGCACACTGCGTAATGAGGAAAAAAAAAACCTTCGACTGTGTTTTTGGATTAAAAGAGCAACTTTGCACTGTATTTTCGTATGGTATTTATTGTTGTATTCTAGTTTTCCTGGTCTCATTTTATAGAATGGAAGACATATTAAAGAAATTGAGATGATTTTGACTGGTTTCACAATGAAAAGTACCTTGAAATTAAGCTCAAAATAGCAGAAATGTTCGATTTTTACCAAAGTTCAAAAGTAAACAAATCATGCAAAGCGTCCAATACACGTCAACTGGTTAGTCTAATATTCTTTCACAAGTGCGCTAATATTATTTATACCATTTCTACACTAGTGCAGTAGTCTGCATAACGGTAAATCTTCTATTTTTTTGTAAGAATAAAAATTCACAGTGGAAAGCCAAAGAAATATAAGAGGGGCCTGGGGATGTGACTAACGAACAGAGAACTTGTTATTTTAATGCCAGGAATGTTTTTCTTGTTTATTCTGGACCCTATTCGGAAATTGGCATCTTTTGAAATTTGTGTGAAATTGGCAAAATTGCTAAATTCTGACCACTTTGTTGGATGGTTGAAATCGGTAAATGGGTGGTTTCTTGTACTGATTCGATAGAAAAAATGGAGTTCTAGCAAAATAGTTATGATTTTTGTCGACTAGTACATTGGAATTGGCCGAAAATAGGGCTCAAAGTGGGCAAAATTGCCGATGCGTAAACATCGTCGAGACCGCTAACTTCGCAAGAGCATAAGTCCGTAAGTTTTCCATCAAATTTCATACTTTTGGTGTCGTTATGATCGGGAAAAGATTCTCTATCCTTTCATAAGATTTTTTTTTTTTTATTAACCCATAAACGGTCCAAACATATATATACATTCACTACTGTACTGCCCCAACTTTTCTGAGAAAAAAACATTGTTGTTTTTTTAATAGGAAAAAAAGAGCATATGGTACCCAGGCATCCCCAATTATTTTAATATGGTGCACAGTGAGTGCTCACACCCATTCTCACATGTCTAGGCGACTCAGGCTTATCGTGGCAATGTTAAATGTAGGACACATAAAACGTATATATACGTTTGGACCGTTTACGGGTTAAATTTGGGCGACCCTGAGAACAAGTCTCGGAGAGGGCCTGGCGACCCTGAAAGGGTTAAAAATATCTAACATAGACAGGACTCACAGCAGTGACTTAAAATTGGAAAAAATCAGATTCAGGAAGGATATAGGAAAGCACTGGTTTCGTAATAGAGTTGTAGATGAGTGGAACAAACTCCCGAGTACCATCATAGAAGCTAAGACGTTGTGTAGTTTTAAAAATAGGTTGGATAAATACATGGGTGGGTGTGATTTGGACCTGACTAGCTTGTGCTACTAGGTCGGACGCAGTGCTCCTCCCTTAACCCCTTGACTGTCGCAACCCCCAATCCTGAGGTGTCTCCTGGTATCGCAAAATTTAAAAAAAAAATTATTTTTTCTTATGAAATGATAGAGAATCTTTTCCCAATTGTAATGCCACCAAAAAAACGAAATTTGATGGAAAACTGACGGAATTACGTCCTCGCGAAGTTAGTGACCTCGGCGATATTTACAAATCGGCAATTTCACCCACTTTGAGCCCTATTTTCGGCTAATTCCATTGTTCCAGTCGACCAAACTCATAGCTATTTCTTTAGAACTCCGTTTTTTCTATCGATTGAGTACAAGAAACTGCCCATTTACCAATTTCAACTACCCAATAACGTGGTCAGAAATTTGCAATTTGGCCAATTTCATGAAAATTAAAAAATATGACAATTTCAAAATAAGGTCCAGAATGAACAATGCAGACATTCCTGGCTCTAAAATAACATTTTCTTTGTTCATCAGTCATGTCTCCAGGCCCCTCTGATATTACTCTTGCTTTCTATTTTGAATTTTTATTCAAACAAAAAATAGAAGATTTACTATTATGCAGACTACTGTAATACAGTAATAATTGTGTAAATAACATCAACCCATTCATGACTGCATATTAGAATGGCTAGTTGGACATTTATTGGACAATGACATCATTTGTTTACTTTTGAACATCAGCAAAAATCAAACATTTCCCCTACTTTGAGCTCCATTTCCAGGTTCTTTTATAATAAAATCAATCAAAATCACGTCTATTTCTATAATATGTTTTCCATTCTATCAAATGAGACCAAGAAAACGGGAATACAACCATAAATACTAAAAAATAGATCACAAAGTCAGCATTTTAATTAAAAAAAACGGTCGGAGTTTTTTTTCTCTCATTATGCACTGCGTGCTCCAGGATTTTTTTATATGGTGCACACTGACCACACAGACCCATTCTCTCACATGTGGGCCTACCAGCTTTCTCCTTCTTGATTTGAAGCCGCTAGAATTTATGAGTATATATACGTCAAACACGGTAACTCATAAGACGTATATATATGGCCGCGACAGTCAAAGGGTTAAGTGACGTGTCTGACCTCACTAGGTCAAGGCATTGGCTTAAGCCGGTGGGAGAATTGGACCTGTCTCGCATAGACCAGTAGGCCTGTTACAGTGTTCCTTCTTTCTTATGTTAGGCTATGCTTACAGTAAAACATCTTTCTATGGATTATTCCATTCATCAGAGATGCTTCTTCCAATGCTCTGCCTGACTCGCTTGCTCTATATTCCCAATTTGATTGTCCCATTTTTAGTATGGATTCTCTCTGCAGTATCTTAACTGGCACTGATATTTTTTAAACTGTGTGACCTTTTCTCCTTCTCCTGCTTTTGTTCCCTCAACATATCTCCCTTTAATTTTATCATCTTTGCCCTTACTGTGTAATGCTGAGTTATACAATTAAATGTAGCATTTTCATTGTGGTTATCACAGGTGTCCTTTGGAAGGATGTTAGTCACTAACAGCTATAAGCCATAAACAGTAATATCCATCATAAAATGCTCATTTTAATGCAAGTTTATTTGCTGTATATTGATCAAACTAGTGAACATTTTGCATGTTAAGTTCAGGGACCACCCCCTCCCCCAACTATGAGCTGTTACTAGCATTTCAACTCATGAATGAGTTACAACTTTGAACATATTTTCTTACAGAGTATGGTTAAAAGAATGGTTGCCAATAACACACTCATAACTGCCGATTTTATTTTGTATACATTGATTTTTTTTTTTTTTTTTTTTTTTCGTAAGTGTGAAAGGTGGTAACTCGGACATCTATAAGTTGGAAACCTGTATTTAGTAGAAGTGGACTTAATACCTTCAGTTAGGTGAAATGGTCATTGATGTAGTCTTCTAATACAGTGTTGTTCTTTAAGGAAAAGGGGTCTTGTACCTAGGTTAACATATTTTAAATTAAGGAAATTTTTTAAAAATATACTTGGGAGTGTAAACTGCATTTAGAAATGCTTTGAAATTCGTGAACATTTTATGTGCATACTGTAGTTTATTTTAACCGTGGAATCATTCATGGCTTACAGTATATGGCACAAGATTCATGCACATACTGTGGATTAGGATTGGACAAGAATGGAACTCGGGCACGGCTCCTGCCATGTATAACCTGTGATACTTGTTTTCATCCCGAGTGTGCTTGTGAAGCTGTCAACAGCAAGACTGTGAACACATATCAGTGTTCTAAGTGTTTGAGAGCTAGTAGAAGTCCATCCAGGTCTCCTGTGAAAACAGCTAAGGTAGTGTCTTAGTTGTGCTAATATTTAACTATTCACAATGTAGTGCAGTAGTCTCTCTCATTCAGACTAATGCATGTACAAAACATTCCAAATAATAGAAATCATATTTCTTTTATTCAAAAAAAAACTGAATTAAATTTTATAATTTTTGCTCTAATTTGGAATATTCCAAATATAAAATATTCCATATTGGAAATTAATTCAGTTTTTTTTTTTTTTCCATAATTGGGAGAATTTGGAACAAGATGTGCGAAGATAGCGATGTTTGTTTTTATTTACATGCCTTATGGATTAAATGTACATTTTTTTTTTTTTTAACACTACAGCTGTTTCCCATCAGGGCAGGGTGACCCAACAAAAGAAATACTTTTATCATCACTCATTCCATCACTGCCTTGCCAGAGGCCTGCCGATACTACAGTTCAAAATCTGTAAATATAACCTCCCCTCCTTCAGAGTTCAGGCACTGTACTGCCCAGCTTTAGGACTCGAGTCTGGCTGACCAGTTTCCCTGAATCCCTTCATAAATGTTACCTTGCTCACATTCCAACAACACATTAAGTCATAAAAACCTATTATAGATTTATACACCCTCCAAGCCATTATATTTTGGTCCGTCTTCTGCAAATGTCTGAACCACCTCAACAACCCCTCTTCAGCCCTCTGGATAAAAAATTTTTTAACTCCACACATCCTTCTAATCTCCAAGTTAAGTATTCTCTGCAAAATCTTCACACCACACATTGTCCTCAGACACAACATCTCCACTGCCTCCAGCCTTCTCCTTGTTGCAACATTTGTCACCCATGCTTCATACCTGTATAAGAGCATTGGTACCACTATATGCTCATATATTCCCCTCTTTGCTACTATGAATAACTTTTTGTCTCTACAGACTCCATTTGTCAATTCTGTGGTTCACCTCATCTTTCATAGATCCATCTGCTGACAAGTCCACTCCGGGATATCTGAACACATTCACTCCCTCCATACTTACTCCCTCTAATCTGATATTCAATATTTCATTTCCTAAATTTTTTGTTATCCTCATCACCTTGCTCTTTCCTATGTTCACTTATAATTTCCTTCCTTTACATACCCTCCCAAATTCATCCACTAACCTCTGGAACTTCTCTTCAAAATCATCAAAAAGCACAGTATCATCAGCAAAAAGCAACTGTGACAACTCTCACTATGTGTTAGATTTTTATCTTTTAATCCCACACTTCTTCCAAACACTCAAGCCTACTTCTATTGGGAAATAATCTCCCTCTCCTACATACCCTAACCTGAACCTCACTGTCCATGTAAAAACACTTAACTCCTTTCGATAACCTACCCGCTATTCCATACACTTGCAACATCTGCCACATTGCTTCCCTATCCACCCTATCATAAGCCTTTTCCAGATCCATAAATGCAACAAAAACCTTTTACCCTTGTCTAAAAGCTGTTCACTTTTATACTTCACTGTAAACATTTGGTCTACATATCCCCTACCCTTCCTAAAACACCCTTGTTCATATACAGTCCTGCTCTCCTTTTTACTCTTAATTCATACACCTTAATCATACACCTTACTAGGTATATACAACAGGCTTCTTCTTCTTTCAACAAACTGGCCGTATCCCACCGAGGCAAGGTGGACCAAAAAGAAAAACAAAAGTTTCTCTCTTCAAATTTAGTAATTTATGCAGGAGAAGGGGTTACTAGCCCCTTGCTCCCAGCATTTTAGTCGCCTCTTACAACACGCATGGCTTACGGAGGAAGAATTCTGTACCACTTCCCCATGGAGATAAGAGGAAATAAACAAGAACTAGAAAGAAAATAGCAGAAAACCCAGAGGGGTGTGTATATATATGCTTGTACATGTATGTGTAGTGTGACCTAAGTGTTAGTAGAAGTAGCAAGACGTACCTGAAATCTTGCATATTTATGAGACAGAAAAAAAGACACCAGCATCCTACCATCATGTAAAACAATTACAGGCTTTCGTTTTACACTCACTTGACAGGACGGTAGTACCTCCCTGGGCGGTTGCTGTCTTCCAACCTACAAGTAAAAGTACCAACCATTCCTAAACTATATTCCTCTCTGCTTTTAACATTTCTGTCTTCATCCCCTCAATCCTAACATCTTTACCCCCCTTTCATTTTACCCACAGCCTCATGTACCTTCCCCTCAATCACTTCTGGCTCTTCCTCACTCCTAAAAGATGTTATACCTCCCTGGCCAATGCATGAAATCACAGCTTCCCTCTTGTCATCAACATTTAACAGTTCCTCAAAATATTCCCTTGATCTTCCCAGTACAGTGGAACCCTGAATATCGGCCGTAATCCATTCCAGAAGGTCAGACTAAATTCGAAGCAATATTTCCCATAAGAATTAATCCGTTCCAGACACCCAAAAATATTAACAAAAAAATACATTTTTTAAAGATTTTTTAAAGATTAATTATAGGGGTTTGGGATATTGGCAGTTTGGAAGGATATGTTGTGTATCTTTATACATATATGCTTCTAAACTTTTGTATTCTGAGCACCTCTGCAAAAACAGTGATTATGTGTGAGTGAGGTGAAAGTGTTGAATGATGATGAAAGTATTTTCTTTTTGGGTCACCCTGCCTCTGTGCGAGACGGCCAACTTGTTAAAAAAAAGATACACAAAACAATGAGAACTAAATAAACTAAAATGAACATCTAAATCACTATTACATACCTTTCTTGAAGACTCTTGTTGGCTTAGGGAAGACAGAGAGGAGGAGAGAGGGAGGACTGATTATTATTTGGAAGGGGAATCCCCCTCCATAAGGACTTCAGGTATCAAAGCCTTCTCTGGGGTTACTTCCCTCCCTGCCTCCCTTCCACACTCCCTGTTTCCCTGCTACACTCCTTGCCTCCATGCTACACTCCCTGCTTACCTGCTACACTCCCTGCCTCCATTCCACACTCCATTTCCCTGCTACACTTCCTGCCTCCCTGCAACACTCCCTCCTTCCATGCTACACTCCCTGCCTCCCTTCCACACTCCCTGTTTCCCTGCTACACTCCCTGCCTCCATGCTACACTCCCTGCCTCCCTTCCACACTCCCTGTTTCCCTGCTACACTCCCTGCCTCCATGCTACACTCCCTTTTGCAACATTAGCTTTCTTGATTTCCCTGCTACACTCCCTGCCTGCCTGCTAAGCTCCCTTTTGCAACATTAGCTTCCTTGATTTCCCTGCTACACTCCCTCTCTCCATGCTACACTCCCTGCCTCAACTCCCTTTCACAGCATTAGCTTCCTTGAATTCCCTGCTATACTCCCTGCCTCCCTGCTAAACTCCCTTTTACAACAGTAGCTTCCTTTATTTCTACTTTCTTTGCCAGGATGGAAGTGATTGTTGATTTGGATTTCCCATACATCCTGGCAAGTTCTAGCACTCGAACACCACTCTCATATTTTACAATAACTTCTTTTGTAAATTCCATCATGTTTCTCACTTTCTTTACCACAGGAACTTTACTAGGAACTTTCTTTGGGCCCATGGTGGCTTATGTAACAGTCGCAGTTAACCCTGCGCGTGAACGTAGATCTACGTTAACGTGCATAGCGCTCCAACCTTGATTTTCCCCATTTGAAAGCATGTAAAAAATGTAGATCTACATTCGAAACATTATGCATGTGAACATAGATCTACTTTTGGACAGTTTAGGGATTAATAAACAAGCACAAAATCTAATGGATTTTAAGGAAACGTTTGGGTGAATGTGCGGAGTATATGCTCAATCACTGAGAGACACAGGGAGACTGACTCACCTACGCAATGGCGTCCCAGCTGGCGGTGGACTGATGCATATAATATGGCTGATTTGCGAGGCACTGGCCAAAATATAGAGCAAAATTTCAGCCCAAAAACCAGCCTAAATACTATTCGGCCGATAAACGCAGTGGCCGATATTCGAGGTTCCACTGTACCTCCAACTTCCCATCTAACAACTCTCTTTTACTTTTAACTGTCAATTCCATTTGCTCCCTAGGCTTTCACAATTTATTAATCTCACTCCATAACTTTTTCTTATTCTCAGCAAAATTTGTTGACAGCATCTCACCCACTCTCTCATTTGCCATATTGGAGTCATCATCCAGCTGAAGTAACTCCTTGTGTCCTCACCAAGCCAGGTTCTGAGTCACAAGAAATTTTAAGAAGTGAAGGATTCTTGTCGAGATATTACGCCACTTCTGCTTTTCCTTCTCAATTTGTGACTGAAGTTCTGTGTCAATAGCTCTTCTGTTTTCAGTTTAATTGCTTTTCATTTCTTTCCACTGTGTGAAGCACTCCCAAGGATTCTTGGTATTTTCATGACCACTAATCCTTTCAGGTTCTTTCCACTGGTTGAATCCACTTTTTTGCTCAAATGAGGATTGGTGGTCTGACTAGGAATAGAGAAGACAACAGGTACAAAATACAGACTTTTTAGAAGGGGAATAGAGCAGCCATGAGCAAATCACTTCCTCACCACAACCATTTTCCAGTTTCCTGTTGAACCATGTTTTGTTCATTGAGCAATTATTTGTTGGTAGGAAAGGCCCCGCACTGTTCTGGAAATATTTCAAACCCAGCTTTATTATTACTGTTCTGAACGTGTCAGGCAGAATTGCTTTGCCCAGTATCCTCATTGAACTTCAAAAGTCCAGTGTCATTCTGTTCAATCGCTTCTTGTGTGACAGTTCAAGGCTCTTCAACACCATGTTCACTAGGTTCAGTCTTGTCGGGTAAAATCTTGTCAATAAACTCAGCATCATCACCACCACCACCATTGTCTCTCCCTCTTGTGATGTCCACGTATTCTCTGGCAGCTTCACTTTTAATATCATCATCATGCTTGGATTACCAAAACTGTTGTCCAGAGGGCTGAGGAAGGGTTGTTGAGGTGGTTCGGACATGTAGAGAGAATGGAGCGAGACAGAATGACTTCAAGAGTGTATCAGTCTGTAGTGGAAGGAAGGCGGGGTAG